AAACAAATAGGACCTAATCTTAATTTTTTTTCATTATTCATTTAATTTTTCTATTTTCCGTGCTGTATTATACGGGACAGTCCTCTTTTTTGACCCATTCTCCTAGTAATTTATTTATTTTATACGGAACGTCAAATGTTCTGTATTTCTCTTAATGTCCTGTATTTGTCCCGTATGCGGTGTTTCGACGCCTTAACAGCTCATTAAAATGGCATGCCTATGTACGAGTTTTAAGTGATGTTGGTATATGATCCTAATTTTCTCCATAAACAGTTATTATTTTCTAATCTGAATGCCTGTGATTCGAATCTAGGAATACATAGAGTGACCAAAATACAAATTAGGACTCGACATTTTAGTAAGTTTTGGCTATTTTTTCTTAGTTTATTTCTTTCTTCTCTTTTCCTAACAAAAACCATCTAATACAAATTTTCAACTTTGTGCAAAAATCTATAAAAATTAATTCTGCGAAGTTTCACCAAACTTTCAATATTTTTAATTAGAATCTTTAGAAAAAAATTTGGTTATGCAGTTTTGTAACTCATTAAAATTGAGTGTTATAAGTGCGAGTGGAAGGTGCCGCTCATTTGCTTCTCTTTTAAAAAAAATGGTCGAACATACTTACTATGTATGAAAAAATGCGTAACACCGTCAACAAAAAAAAAAAATGCCAAAAATCAATAGTAAGCCTTACCGGCTTAAAATTGCATTTTATTATACTAAAATTTAACGAATTTTTTTTAACAAATTTTCCGGGGTAAAAATCTCGAGAAAATTATCCTACAAATTTGTTATTTTACTATAAGGATACTGTTTCAGCGCTAATACATCTAGGATCATTGAAGAAGACTTAGAGATCTGTAAGCTAGAGTGGAACAAATTTCAAAAATTATTTTTTGTCCCGTATTCGGCTCTCATAAATATAGTCACCGTAGTTATAGGGAATGGAATACTTGTTGACTCATTGTGCACTGACCAAAATTTTGCTGACTATTTTGGCTGAGATTTGTCTCCAAATATGTTGTTAATGTTTTTCAAACTACAAGCAAACATTTTTTGTATATGCGTCTTTAAGAGCGTTTTTAAAAACGATTGCAGAGATCTCAGAGATTTCATGATCATATTAAACCATAATAATATTTTACCCAACCCTCGTAAACATATTTTATTTAATTTTGTCATGAAGAAAGTACAGATTGAACGCCTAAATGTGGCTGAAATTTCACTAGAGGTAAACAGGATGTGAAAATCTTTAGTTGTTGTATGAATATTCTAAAATATAACAGCAGATTTTCCTACAGGGTAGCTTCTTTTCTTTACCACAAAAGGACTTTTGCCGGCATCACACATATACACACGTAGGTATGTAGGTATTTATTTGTTTATTTATTTGCGCAAGTTAGCTTGTGGTAAAAGCGGTTAGGCTACCTACATCGGTGGATTGCATTAAATTTAAGTTTTTTTTTTGTTTTCATGTGAGTATTTGTATTTAGTTAAACCCTTTTGTAAGTAATAATTTAACACAATGTTCACTCACATCTCTCTCACATCTCCATATGTACATAAATAGTTCACATATGTATCTCACATTTCATTTTACTAATTACACACAAGAAATTTGACTAAACCTACAAATTACAAATTATTTATCTTACTACATACATATGTACACACATACATACATATGTACGTACAACATTACATAGTTTACTACCAGTTTCGTTAATAATTTAAAAAATTCATTCACTTCATTACATATTACTAAATTTAAGTATCTAATTTCATTAGTATAGTTCATTAAACTACGTACGTTTATACATACAAACTTACTGCTGCTCCTACTTATACTTTGTATTTAGATAAAGCTTTCAAACTCCTTAGGGGCATTAGGGTTGTTAAATAGGGGTTCCTAAATGGGGTAGTGGTGTGGTTGGAAGTGGTGGTGGCGGCGGCGGTGGTGGTGTATGTGAAAGTGATTGTGTTGGTGTTAGTAATTGTGAGGTTGTTGGTTATTTGTGTATTATAAATGTAGAAGATTTTTGTTGCTTTAGTTACTAGGATTTTGGTAGAGTTTCAAAACTCGAAAATTACACTGGGCCTTAGGTATGCAAGTATGCTTAATTTAAATATGTAAGTATTTATGTCGTTACAAATATTTTTATTTTAGTATTTTGAGTATAAAATTTTAATTTTTCGCATTAAATTGCTTACAGTTAGCGCTGAAGTTTTTAGTTTATATTTTTTTTTTATATCTGAGTCATTTTACATACATATTTTCCTATAGCAAATTACATTGACAGCATTCATCTTCGTAAAGGAAAATCAAAGTTTATGAGTAAGTCTAGAAGTGTAAATACAGTTTCTTAACAAATTTTGGGCTTTTTTTTCTAAAAACTAAATAAATAATTTTCAATTAACCTTATCTGACATTTTTAGCTAACTATATCAGACTCAGTTGATCTACAGTGCCTAGAGGCAGTCAATTGAAGCTAGGAAGGATTTAAAATTTTGTGAAGTTTTTGAAATAAAAAAAGGTAGATAGGAAACAATTGTTTTTAATGCTTTTCTAAATAGTTTACTAGGAATTAAAATCCCACTTTGCAGACTTTCAAAATGTTCACCTTTTTTTTTTGAGTACGAAAATCTGATTATTTTTGCATTTCATTTTTAAGACTTTCTAGAAGTCGGGCGAATTCTTGAGCTCTTTCGAGACCTTATGAAAATTTTTCCAGACGCCTTGAGGCTTTATAGAAAATGTATGGATATTTTTGCAGCTTTCTTATAGTTTTAGGGTTATTTCTGGAGTAACGGTACTTTTCGTGATTTTTTCGGAACTTAAAATAATTTTTTCTTTTCCTTGATCTTGCGGGAGTTTTTATAAGCAAAGCTACACGTTATCAAAACAAAACAGATTTTCCTCGAACATCTCGATAGCTCAGAATTTTTCGAGACTTAGCGGGATTTTTTGTGACATTTCGAAAACTTTTGGGAGATTTTTTAGAGCATTTCGGAGTTTTATGAAGCCCTTGATGACTTTTTTGGATTATATCGATATTTTTTACAACTTTTCGTGATTCTTAAAGAATTTACATACTCAAGGGAAAATTTTAGAGCTAATTTTAAATAACGTCTGAAAATATATAATAAAAAAATTAAAGCTGCAAAAAATTTCCCGGCCTTATAAGCAAATCCGGTACTTTTTGGAACCTTGTGGAGTTTTTTGGAGATATGTATTTTCAGAAACTTCGGATATTTTTTGGAAATTTTCGGAATTCTTTCTGCAAAGTTTCGCCACTAATCGTGAGGGGTTCTGAACCTTTCGGAGCTTTTGGTAACTTCTCGTGCTTTGTTCCGGACTTTTCATGATTTTTCGTGAATTTTCTTGTTCCGAGATAAATTGAAACCTCAAATTAAAACCTACTTTGTTGTTTTCCGAATCTGTTTTTTTGGAACTTTTCGGAACCTTAATGCATTTTTAGGAACATCTCATGATTTTTACCGTTTTTTTCGTAACTTTCAAAATATTATTGAAACTTTTCTGATTTTTGCGCGACTTTAATTTAATAACTAATACATCTTTAAATTTTTTCGGACTATTTTAGGATTTTTGCGATTTTGTTTGGCCCTTAGGAATTAAACGAGCCTAGTTCGAAGCCATCCGAAATTTTCCATGAGCTTTTCCGGATTTTATGAAAGCTTTATTGGGTTTTTCGGAATAGCTTTCATTCTCTCAGATCCTTTTGGGATTCTTTGCCACTTATCGTGTCGTAAGTGTCTTTTCAGAAAATTTTCGCGTGTATCCAAAAATATCGAACTTTTCCAGATTTCTCCAGGATCTCCGGGACTTTTTTTTTGGTTTGTCGAGACCTTACGGGTTCTTTTAGGGACATTTTTAAATTGTCTCGGGAGTCTAGGAGACTTTTTCATGACTTTTATTGATTTTTGTGAACATTTTTAAATTTTTTAAGATCATTTTTTGGTTTTTGGTCACCGTTTGTATTTTATTCCGATAATCTTTTAGAATTTTTTTTTAATTCTTTGGAGGCTTTTTGGTACTATTTGGTATTTTGCGAGATTTTTTTCGGGAAAACTTTGGTTTTTAACGAGACTTTTTAAGTTTTTTTTTGAACTTACAGTATTTTTCCGGGACTTATAGCGGATTTTAACGATTTTTTCAGGATTTTTGGTCGTATTTCCGTACGGAATACTTTCTGAAATTTTTAAGTTATTTTTCGGAATTTTTTTCGTGTTTCGGAACTTATAGAGATATCTTCAGATTCTTTCAGGATTGTAGGTAAATTTTCGGTTCTTTGCGGAATTTTTCGGAATCTACCAAAACTGTTCAAATCTTTTCGTGATTTGTGGCACTTTTAATGTTTTTATCCGCACTTTAAATGATCTGAAGGGGTTTTTTCGGACCTTACGGAATTTTTTAAGGATATCTTGGAATAGTCTCGTTCCGTATACTTTGAGACATTTCGGGAATTTTTCATGAATTATCGAAATTTTTAAGGGCTTTTCGGGGTTTTAAATACATTTTTCCGCTTTTCATGATCTCATGAAGATTTTACGAGAAGTTAGCATATTTCTTCGGGACTTTTTGGGATTTGTGGGATCTTTCGGTAGCAACTGGATTTTTTTTTCTGATCTTCTTGGGATTCCTGGGACATTTTTGTGGATTTTTTCGAAATTCTTCTAGAACGTATTGAGATTATTTCTGAGCTTTTCGGGCATTCCTCGTCGTTTATTTCGGACGGCTAATGAAATTTAATGAATGCTTTTTCGGGACTTCGTGTTGGTTCTGAGATTTCGGTAATTTTTCGCAATTTTCGGGAATTTTCGTCGCTTATTTCGGACTTTTAATGAAATTTAAGAATACTTTTTCGGGAATTCGGATGATTTTCGGGACCTTTTAGGATTTTTGATCACTTTTCATGTTTTTTTTCGCAGTTTAACTTAAATTAATTCCTAAAAAAAATCTAAAAAGCAAAGACCCTCGCAAAAATGTTTGCCTTAAAAAATAAAATGCAAAAATTATCAACTTCTCCTTGCGCGAAACACTAAATGTCTATAAGCTTTTGCTTGCAAATAATCAAATGCCACGTTCTCTCACGAAATTTCTCAATTTTCAACCACTGTAGCTTTGTTGCCCATAGTCGCCTAGTTTTTTTTTCGTAGTTTATCTCTAAATTTCTTATCTAACGGCTGCCAAACTACACCGATGTCGTTATCTGTTCGACATATTGCAGTGGCTTGGAGAGTGATTGTGAGCGTCGATGCCGGTAGCGAGGCGTAGTAGCAGCACCATGTTGTATGACGGTCGTCGCTGCTACACCTCTTTGATGATTCCGACATTTTGTACCGAAGTCATAGCCCAGATCATGGCGCGGCAAGTAGATAACTTCACGTGAAAGGGTATTCGATGAGCCCACTGCTGACGCTGCTGCCGTCCCCGTAACTGTCTTGCATCTGCACAATTGATTACCGATGGTGGAGAGACCTTCCGGCACGCTGCGACTGCGTGAGTTTTGCAAATAGTTGGTGGAGCCTTGATTGCAAGTGCATAGCAGTGGTTGATGCATTTGGGATCTGTGTATGGAATGCAAAAAAGTTCGAGTTTACATATAAAATTTAATTGAGAAAACTCATCCCCCACCTCGGTGACGCTTGCGCCCACAGACAGCTATCGTGACAATTGCAATACCACTGCCCGTTACAGCAATAGGAATTCTGTATAAATGACAAACTCTTCTGCAGTCGCTTGCCCATGCAACGCCCCAAACTCGCATAACGCTGCTGCTCCATGTCACAGTGTGGGCTATGTGGTCGACTTATATCCATCAAGTGACCACGACCACGCGCTGCTGCCGCCGCCATTGCCGCCGGCCCGCCATGTACTGCACAATGTTGCAGCTTATGTAGACTTGGGACACGCCAACGATCAGCAGCGCCACCACCACCGCAATACGCATTGTTGCGACAGAGATTCTCAAAATCCACTTGATTCAAGCTGACACAACTCCGACTCATTAACAAATCAGGCGCTGGATATTCACAGCCATTGTAAACATTAAAGTCCACCACTGGCTCATGAAAGCCATGTAGCTTGCAATATTGCGGGAAGGGGCGCAGTGTGGGTATAGCACCATTCCCATGTTTCTTGTTGTTGTTGTTGTTGTTGCCTTGGTGGGCGCCGGAACTTTGCTCAAACGTTGAGTAGGTCATGAAGAATATTATAATACCGCCTATGGCAACAGCTGCGGAGCATATAAAATATCCAGCACGTCCATAATGCAGTGAGTAGTCATTGAGGAAGCTGGTGAGTGGTATGCTAATGAGCACTGGTATGGACTCGGCACCTTTGAGGAGGCCTAAAAGAAGAGAGGGTTTTTCTTTAGTACAGTCACATAACAAAATTCATATTTCGGTTTTTTACGTACTCCATGCCTTCGAAAACTGCTTCACTTTGATGCGATCTAGCGCTAGTATCTTGAAAGCGTAACGAAATCCACCGAACCCAATGCCATACATCCAACCGAGTATGCAGAACCAGCGAAAACTTACGACGAAGGACAGGCTCAATATGGAAATTGCTATTAACGCAATAAATACCTGGAAAGTGAAAAAATGCAAAATTATACTCATAACCTTTAGTTCTTAATGCAAAAAAGTTGGACTTACCTGAGACACAATTTGTGAGGTTATCATAAAAGTACCTATTCTAAAAGTTTTGCGCAGTATTGTGCCGGCTATAAATACGCCCATTGTGGTGGAGACACCTAAAAAAGTTTGCAGCAACACCAAGTCTTCTATATCGGGACCTTCCTTGGCGACGGTCAATGTCTGAAAGAGGAGAAGAAAATATATTACATTTTCATAAAACAAGTGTATGTACATTAGGGCGGGCCAATATTTTTTGACCATGCGCGTATAGCATAGGAGGATTCTACGTGTACTTCTAAGCAAATTTGCCGAAGAAACCAAAATCAATTAGGGGTTTGACAAATTGCGAAAATAGATTTCGAAGAAAATGTGTAAATTTTCACTGTTGTGCCCTCTAGTCGAAGTTTTAAGAAAAAGATAAATCTAGAAATGGATTCTTCATACCAAAAACCCCACAAAGCATGTTTTATACGAAGTTTAAGCACTTCTTTACGACACTACAGCAAAATGGTAAGAAACCCACTTTCGCAATTTGGAAAACTCCGAATTGATTTGATATCCATGGTTTCTTCGGAAAATTTGCGCATAGTCGAAAAAATTTCCCATAAAAATTGAGCCGCCCTAGTGTACATATATAAAATCTTTTTTGATATAACGCCTGGAACTGAATCCTTTAAGTTAAGAAAACATATAATTAAAGAGATGCTGTAGAAACTTATACTCTCATGGTATACCTTGCTTAGTCCCAATACCGCCCCCAGTCTACTTGTCGCCAGCAAGATTTTGCTACCTTGCATTCCAAGGTCTTCGCCCAGAGCCCGCTGAGCTGACCAAATGCCCATCCGTCCCGGAGCAGAACACAGGAAGTCAGGGGAGCACCCAGACATTCTCTACTCGGCAGCAGTTCTTCAAAGGTTCGCTGTCTTGCCGGCTCATCGGCCATGCAGTTTTCAGCAATTTCGCTGTGACTCGGAAACCAAATGAGCTGAATGCCATATTAATACGATATGATAGACAGTTAGGTCAAGCAATACTTCACCGTTCTCGTACAAACCATCAGAGAGCCAAGAGCCTTGATAGTTGCTTGCCTGTCGGAATAGATATTGACCTTCTTGAAAGGTGATACACTAATGAGCAACCAATCTCAAGCCTCCAGTAATGCGGCTACCTCTGCCTGGGAAACGCTACAGTAATCCGGTAGCCTGAATTTCAGGTCGAGTTCTTTGCAGAAGACAACTCCACCTACCTTCCCATTGAGCTTCGATCCATCCGTAAATACGTTTACAGGACCCCGATTGCATATACTGCAACCTCTCCCAGTCCTCCTTCGCTGAGATATGGGTGGTGGGAAGTCGGCATGCAGTGGTCTGTTCGAGTTGGTAATAACTCGATGCTTTTTAGAATAGTGGCGTGCCCATAGCCATAGCATAGCATTAAGCGCCAGAGTAGGAGTGATTCAAAGTGCCCCAATTATTCCAATTAAGGCTTCTCTTTGCACTCCTTCCAGCTGCTTGACAATGAAGGCCTTGTCTGGAGCGTTCCAAACCATAAGTACCCCATAAAATAAAATTCGCTTAATTATAGTTTCATAGCCAATGAACGACTTTCGGCGAAACACCCAAGAGCTTGCTAATTTAGTCTTCCAGATCATTGTAGTGTTTTCCAGGAATATGGTGCAGCCATTAAGGAATCAGTCGAGGAGTAACATCTACTCTGATATCCAAGCGCAAATCAGGGCCATGCGCTCTAAGCTTGTAGGGGAATGTGTGATCTCTCTTTTGTTTGCGCCAGATTATTTCATAGCCGGACTTATGTGTGATTGAGGCCATATTTATGTAAATATTTATGTTGCAGGAAACTACGTTTCGCATGAATTGCCTGAAAGGAGTATACCCTTGGCTACTTGCTGATTACTCTTGGTTAGATGGGCCACCTCAGCGAACTCTGGGTAAAATTTAGGACACGTGCATATTCGCGATCTTTCTGCCTAAAGGTAGACCGCAGGCGGTGAAGAGATTTTGTTGGGCTCACTCTCAATTCTTTTTGTTTTATCGATAGGACAGTGTCTGATGGGTATTTTCATGGTGAGACAAAATATCAAACACGATGTGCATGTCGCAGCTGCTTAGAGGTTAATGGGGTGGAGTCACGCAAAATTTCCTCATAAGTTGCCCGGCTTTAGCGAATCTGTGGTCTAAAAACCTTGAGCATCCGCATTTTTTAATTGGCCCTCAATGAACGCTTTATTGTCGATGCATTTGTAGCTTAGAAAACATACGCTCAGGTCATGAAAAAAACTCTGTATTTGCGAAGATCAAATACTTCTGTGTAGAAGGACCTTTTTCCAAAATCTACACTTGATCCTGAGGTATTATCATACCAAACCGATAAAAGTAAATAGAGGACTAGTCACTCAAGCCGCCTAATAGTTAAAAGAGAGGTTTGCAGGTCGATGACATTCGAAGAACTCCTAAACTTACGCGCGAGTCGAGGCGTACCCTTCACTCGGTTGTACATTGTATATTTACTATGACTGAATCAGCCGTCTTACTTGCCGTCCAGTGTGCCCAAAGTTCTTAGAGTAGACCAATACCAAAGCTCCGTTTGCTAATTAATGTATAAAATTGACCAATGCCCCTTCGGAGGTATACAGAATAGCGTGTAGCGCCTTATGGTGCTCATTGTTTATTTTGAAGCGAACGCTAAGAGTCCTCTTTCCGTCCCGTCGGAAGTCTTTGCCTCAAGCGTCTTTCACCAGGGCCGGTCGGCGAGTGGTCTTAACATTTGTTCAGGCGTCGGGACCACTAATCCTTGTTGCCAGTGAAACAGTCATAACCATATCCCTGTTGGAGTTCTTTCTGGGACAAATAAAATTCCAAAATCGGAGTACCATACTTCCTAGTTCGCTGATGCTATGCTCAGATTGGTTACCTTGACCCGGTTAACAATAAAAGCTAAATTTTAATCTCAGTATTGGATTAGGGTTTGCGTCATTAGCTCAACAGTTCCCGAGACTAGAGTGATTGCATAGCCATTGGCTCTGCCGAGAATTCAGGTTGCCTTGCCGATCCCACTTTATAAATTAAATTGCTCTTTTTGCGCAAAAACAAAACTTTAGGTGGGGAAAGTATTTATATGTAGTATATAGCCATTTACATACTTATGTATATGATATTTTGCCTTTCACATCTACCAGTCTGATCATCAGCCCTTGTGAGACCTGCATTGCTGAGCCAGAGATTCTGGAGGAAGTAATCTTGGATTACGTCGATTCGAGGGAACTCACTATCCTCCATGAAGCTGACACCCGGACCAAACTTGGGCCGCTTAATTTCAACCAAGTCGCTGTTTTAGAATGCGAGCAAAAACACAAAGAAATCCGGCACAAGGGACGTACCTTTTGAACTCCGGCTTTGAGTCGAGCCCCGAATTCTCAATGCAGCAGTGCCTGTTTCTCTGCTAATAGTGGTTTTAGAGGGGTAAACAGGAAACAACTTTAGCTTGTCGGGCTCAATTGAATATTTTTGAATAAAAAATTAACACATTTTGTTTAGTGGAGTGGAGGAATAGGGAAAAGTCCACCGCAATAGTCCCGAAGCTGAAGCTGAAGCTTCACATGGTAGTCGCCAGTGTAAGATTTGACCCATCTAGCTGCTTTTAATTCTGTAATTCGAAAACTATTGAAGATAGATTAATGAAATTTTGCACAAGGTACGTTATAAGATAGGCGAAGCTTTTTACAAAAAATTGGTAATTTATAGTTATTTTCACGCCACCCTATTATATAACTGCAATTTTAAAAAATGCAAAAACTGAAATATTTAACTAACTACAAAGGCTAAAATGCCCAAAATTTATATTTAGAATTTCCCTATAACAAGGAATTATAAACTGGCAGAAATGGACTTAAAAATAAATAAATATTTTTTTTTTAATTATGGGCGTGGAAAATATCGATAAAAAAGTCAAGTTGGGTCAACAAAATTCTGTTATAAGTTCAATATTTCTTGCTCTATTTACAAAAATGGGATACCATTGGAAATGTAATGAATCAGGCTTTCTCTATTCAACGCAAAAATAAAGAATTTGTCTCGGTCGAGATAAAATGCAAATGAATTACTCGAAGAAAATTAAATTCCCAGTAGGCCAGAAAAAATAAAATTTCATCAAAACCTGCACTTTCCAGCAGCTAAAATTGTGTTGTTTAAAGTCTAAGAGGAGTGGCAAATAAACTGAGATACAAACTTTATCGAATAGTGGCGGATAACGAGTTTTCGGGTCTAATAAAAATAATAATTTGTTATAAATAAGTCTAAGTCAACATCGTTTTACTTTAACATGAAATACTCAGTCCTAGTTTACTAAATTCCCAAAAACGTATATTCATTGAAAACCATACCTAAAAAAATAAGACCAAAATGATATTTTAGCAATTGTTGCATAAATCACATAACACCGACAAATTAAACATTGAGATTCCGTTTCAAATATACAAGTTTAAATATTATTGCGCTCAGTAATTTTCCAAATCAAACCCCGTCCCGCCATACATTTTGATTTAAATTTTTTAGTTGTTATTGCTTCGTCTTTATCAGGCATTTCAAAAAACATTCTTGACGTTGTTTTGAAATTCGGCGACATAAAATAATGTAATTAATCTTTTCTAGAATATGGAAATGATACACTGTGGGCCGTTCCCTGTTCAAGAATACATTTGCGTATATTGTTTCACCTTGTGGTCGGAAGATTTGTGGGGAGGTAGTATCAGCTCAAGAGAACAGAGCGAGTAGTAGTATAGACCAAAGTTCGATGCTATTGCTCAGGCAGAATCCTCACTCTGTTCAGCCTCTCCGGGAGTTGAAGGCGAGGCAGCCGAGACATTACCGTATCAATAGTCTGTTATCATCCGTTCCCAAGGACTTGGACTGGCCGTTCTGTACCAATTCTTTAGGGGCTTTTACTTCATTTCGTTTGAAAATTAAATAGTAACTTTATACCTACTTTTCAATAACAATTTCTTTCAACCAACCTAGAGTAAAAGCCCTCCTGCATATATTTTCCGCATGGTTTGAAATCCCTGTATTGAATGATCTTAAAAACTTACCATTGAGATCATGGGTGTATAGATACCCAATCCCGCTACAGCAGCTGATACCAGTAGGATTTTCACATTGGTTGATTTGAAGGGTGATATGTCGAGGAATAAATAACGCACCGTCCTTTGTTCGTTTGTTACCAAAGATTTCGCTTTATTTTCGCGCATCTGTGGGGGAAAAATAAGATTTTGTAAACATTTTTAGAAAAAAACATTTCGAGGATGAAATTGATTATCTGCAAACCTTCTTTCGTTGATTTTTTAAATGTTGTATGGCGCGCCGTTGTGGGTGATATAGTGATGCGGGTCTATATAATAAACCCATAAAGAAACTAACCGCTACAAGGCCAGCCACAATTTGGAGACCGACACGCCAGCCAGCGTTTCTGTAAAACAAAAAAAAAGGAAAAAATTAACTTTATTACTTTATAGAAATTTTACCAAAGGCTTCAAGGCTTTTTTCCAATTCAGGGTAAGAAAAGAGTTAAGCAATATGTATTTGAAATTTAAAATACCACCAACTTACCCAACACCTTCCCGTAATATCACAGAGAATATCGATATGCCCACTCCCTCGCCCGACATGGCGATCATTTCGACAAATTGCCTACGGCGCTTAAAATAGTTTCCTAACATTATTGTGGACGATTCACGAACCATTGCCACTGCAATACCAAAAACAATACCTGCAAGTGGGATATATGAAAACAATTAAGTTTTTTAAATAAAAGTTTAGTTTAAATAGGAAATGCATTTAAAATAAAGTGAAATTAGAATTCCATACTTGGATCCCCTTTTTTGAAGGATTACTTTACACTAACCATAACTAAAAAATATTTGTCCCAACTCCGTTGCAAAAGAGGTGAATAGTACACCTAGAGGTAGCACCAGTCCACCTACTACGGCCATCAGTCGCGTCGATTTCTTTCGACAAAATGTAATCACAAATGGAGATAGTAACATAGAAATTGACCAATTCAAAGCACCAACCCATTCTGAAAGAGAATAAATACTATCAGTTTTAACCAGAGAGAGAGAGAAAGAGAAAGAAATATAAGACTTCTAATAAAACAAAAATCGCTTACCAATGCCGTTTGAGTCTCGTAGATGTTCTATGGCGTAGAAAAGCAGCAGTCCGCTTGACAGTTGCAGACCCGTTGTTAAGATGTGGACCAAAAATGCTATGCCACAAATGATCCAACCCCAACCGCCATCCGGATAGAAGTACTAGAAGTAAATGAAAGTTGTGGGTTTTTAAAATTTGTTTAAAAGAACACTGTTTTGTCTCTATGCGATACGTTGAGAACTGATAAGGACTATATTGTAATCTCAATTCTAAACAGATATCGAATTGCTTTACAGGGCAATCTATATACATATATAATACGCGAAGGGGTTTTTTATTCAGGATAAAAGATATGCGCCATTCGCTCGATTTTCAAAAATAGGACGTCAAATTAAAGCGCTTGGCCTGTAGATATGCAAGCTGGTTTTATTTTTTCGAACAGAGTTGCCACCTGTAGAACAATTGAATAAAAATTATTTAATAAGCAATGCCATCATAACCGCACCGTTCGTTTGATTTTCCAAATTCAAATTATTTCAAAAACTAAATCATTTATTACAAAATAAGTATAAGTCAAAATGGTTTTTAAAAGCTTTGTTTCTGAAATTAACTGTGAGAGTGTTGCCACCTGTTTGAAAAATCAAATTAAATTTTAGACAGGGAAATTAATTAGGTAATTTAAAAATATTCTCCACAGGGGTCCAGACGAAAGGGGTTTAAAAAGGTAGTAATTTGAAAATGTTTTGAAAAGGGTTGCCACCTGCTTTAAAAGTCGAATTGAGCTTAAAACAAGTTATATGCAGTATTATATATATATATATATATTAAATGAAAGAGTGCTAAGAAATCTTCACTTTGAACATTAAAATATTGTTTGGTGGTTTGAAGAGAGTTGTCAGCTGTTGAAAATTTTAAATTCACATGAGTAAGTTTAATAAATTACTAAAAGAGGTGATTCAATCGTTTATGTGGTTGAGAAGGATTTATATCTAAACTGTATTTAGGAGAGTTGCCAGGTGATAAAAAAATTTAATTCAATTTAATTCATCAGTTAATTGAATTATATATCAAAGATTTCAGTTTGAAAATTTATAACAACATTTTTAACAATTTTATTGAGTTCGAGGCCGTTTTTTTTCTATTTTAAATCATTATATTCATTATTTTGTTTAATTTTGTTTTAATTCTTAGAATCTATTATTTAAAAAGGAAAATAATTTTTTTTTAGCTTAATTAAATTTTTAGAAAATATTATTTTTTTGTAAACTTCATTTTCTCTTAAGGTTTGTATTTTATTGGTTTAAGAATAAAAACTTATTTATTTTATTTTAATTAATTTTTAGGATCTCACGTTGACTTTATTTTGTCCATTTTTAATTAAATTTTTTTTTTAATTTTTAGATTTTGTTTTAAAAATAAAAAGTTTTCTTTTCAATTTTGTCTACTTTTTAAGCAATATTTTCTTATTATTTGACTTAATTTTTTTTTTCTTTTTCTAACTTAATTTTTTGATTTTATTGTTTTTTTTAATATATATTTTTTTGATTTCATTTAATTTTTAAAAAATGTATTTATTTTTGTAATTTAATTGTCTTTTATTTATTAGTTTTGATTGTTTTAAAAAGAAAAATATATATTTATTTTTTAATTTATTTTAATTTTAAAAGAACTTGCTGCTGAAAGGCGAACATAATAACGCTAAGGGCTCCTCGCTAGCAAATATTTCAGTTAGTCTTTCGAAAGACAGTAAAGGGCTTTCAAATAGCTGCCAGAATTGGCAATTGTCTTACCAAAGACTTTTGTCTTTCAAAACAGTGTGGTGAGTTGAAAGACAGTTTGCAGAATTGCCTTGTCAAAATAAAATATATCATTTACTATGATATTCTAAAAGAAGTCAGCGATAACTAAAAATCAAAGTTGTTATAGCCATAATATTCGATCCTTCAATAGCAATCGTATCCGAAGTGCTATCGTTGTCGTCAAAACGGAAAAAAATGCATAGAAATAGTGGAGGCACATGAACCTTCATACTTCCAATAAAAAAAATAAATACTTTTCTCTCGCGAAGGCAGATGCTGAATGTATCTTTCTCATTCCGACTACCGAACTCCACTAGCATCTTCCAAGCGAAAGTACTGGGAATCGAGAGGGCATGCAAAGCCTTAGAGAGAAACTGCGTAGGGGTAGAAAAAGCATAAATGTATTTTCTCAGATAGCCAAGTGGCACTACAGGCACTTCCCTCACCGTTAAGCTCGACATCAGAGTCAGTAGGCATCTTTTTAATTGGGTTTCCCGGTCATAGGAATATACATACACGGTAATGAGATTGCTGACGATTTGGCTTAGGTCGACACATCTTTTGATGAATCCGACGCAGAGACAATAAACCGTCCACTCGTACTCATCGGAAAAATCTTCAATAGTGCAAAACTGCGAGGAATAAGTATATGGACGCAGTATGACAGGTTAATTAACACGATAAAGAGACATTTGCCCTTTCGCGAACATGCAGCCAAAATGGGCTTCCGTACAACCCACGGTGCCGCAGCTGTAATCCACAGGGAAGTAAGGATACGGTCCTACACTACCTTTACAGGTGCCAGCATAGCCACGCATAGGGCATGTTACACTAGGGAGTTTCTTCATCCAAAGTTTTACGGAGATCTCCAAGTGCACTATTACTAACATAAATAGATTCAATGGTACTAGCTTTCTGATATAAACTCATTTAATTTGTTCACTGAGAGGGATTTGTCTTCTTTGGCTTTATTCGCACTATTATCTTTTCGGATTAGAAATTCCTCGATCAGACTACTTTTAGCAATAATTAAGTAAGATACAGTTAAGAACAAGTGACACAAAACATCTTTAAGGTTTCAGTATTCTCAGCTCTGATATTTCCTACCTAGCTTATTAAGTATATCGTCTCTAAATGGCACGTATATATACGAAATCTTTTAAAATAGTTTCGGTAGAACTTCCGCCATATACAAATCTTACGTTGAAATCGGCTAGGTATACACTTTTTTTGAGTTTTAAAAATAATTCAAAGAAAATACAATACCAAAGCGAAAACTAATATCTCCAAAGTGTGAACTCACCTGCCTAATCCCCGCCGTATCAACGCCAGTACGCCGCAGCGCCGGTATATTCCGATGCAGCATGTGAAACTCGCGGTCATGGAAGCCTGGAAACGCCGTGTCCTCCTCATCGATCAAATGTGTGCCATGTTCATAGCCTACAAGACCAAAAGCAAAACAACACCAAAAAATTTTTATCTCTGCGCAGTAATCCGCCATCAGCGTGCAGCAAAATCCAACTCACCAAAATAACAGCCATTGGACACCAAAGGCTTATGACTGTCATGTAGCAGCGCGGCGCGTGGGTACTGCTGATGCGGTTGCGCCTGTTGCTGCTGTTGGCAGGTGTGGCCAGCGCCAACGCTAACGCCACCACCATACATGCAAGCGGGCGCCGCTGCCACCGCCGCTGCTGCTGCTGCTGCAGCCGCTTGATTTGCATTGTAGAGGTGACAGCAAGGCGTTGCAGCTGCATACTGCTGGCTGGGGGGATGCCAAGTGTGACTGCCACTAACACCTACACCCAAACCGCCACCTCCAGCACCAGCAGGCGGCAAATGGCGCGCACAATACGAGCGCTGTGGCGTATCCAAGGGTCCGGCCGCGCCTGCCGGCGGCAGTGTTGCATAGCTGCCATAGAGATCCATATTGTGTAGCGCCGTGATGGAACGCGAATGTGAAAGTGCACATTGCTGACGCTTTATTGTGCCACCGAGACCAGCCACATGTGGCGGCGGCTGCTGCTGTGTGCTATGATCGATATGATAATGAACACTTGATTGCCGTAGACAACGATTTGAGCCATAAAGTTGGTGGCGCGTGACTGTTTTCATTGCAGCGTTGGTGGTGGTGGAGGCAGCAGCGGCGTTTGTCGCGACTGTGGCCATTTTGCTGTTGCTGCCGCTAGGCGATGCTGTATCTGGACACTGCGCGCCGCTACTCTGTGGTGGCAAGGGCAAAGGGCGCTGCTGGTAATCGTAGCCGATGGCGTCGCGAGACAGTTGTGGCGCTTGCAAAGGCTGTGGTTGTGATTTTGTTGGCTGCTCCTCGTTTGCGACAGCGCTCGGTTGCAAACTAACGCTGGAGCCTAAATTGGAGAGGCGTGGGCAGGAAACCCACCAAGTTACTGGTTGATTATTGAATCTACAACTGCGACACAAGTAGCGCGACGCGGTCACAGCCGGCGTGGCAATGGACGATGCCAATTTCTGTTGCAATTGCTGTGCTCTGTAAGCTCTAGAGGCGGTTGCGGGCTTGTTGGATACAAACGCTAAGGAGGAAGCTGTGGGCGCGGTCGCTGAGACAAGCGTTGTTGTTGCTTTTGTTGCGTTCGCTAACGCTGCGCCTACGGCGCTTGATTCTTTTGCGGGCTTACTGCTGCCGCCGCTACCTTTCACACTGCGCGCGGCTGTTAATGTGAGCGCGCAAGTGACTGTCGGCCTTTCGGGGTGTGTGCAGGCTTGATTATTCCTTCGTCACACAGCACAACGCTGACAAAGCACTGGACTACGCGACTGGCGGGGACGTACTAAACTCGAGTATTGACGTGGCTGTTGTTGATGTTGATGTTGCTGTTGCTGTTGATAATGATGCTGCTGCGCTTGTTGCGCTTCGTCTGCTTCGCTTGTGGTTGGGTTAATGTGTGCGCAATGTTGCTGTTGTTGCGTGGAATCTAAATGCTGCGTTAGCTGTGGACAACTGCCGTACAGTGCGGACGATGAATTCGATAATCGGCGATAGCAATCGCCATTGGCCATGATATCGCTCGGACGGCGGTCGGTGATGTTGGTGCTGCACGAGGCGAGGTCGCTGCAATTGCAATCACATGAACAGTCGATTTTCATTTTTTATGCGAGCGACCCACACACTCAATCAGCGCAGCACAACTGCAACAACAAATGGATGCACAAACGCCGCACAGCCACAACCAACTTCAGCATAGCGAATACAAAAAAAAAACAAAATGTGATAAAACTAATAACTAAGTACGTATACGACAGGGATTGCTATGCGCTGCGTTTCGCACACTTTTTTATTGATGTCTTGGGTGTTGCTGGGCGCAAAACCGCACAAACAAGCGCATAAGCGCCAAGCGTCTTCCGCGTCTATGCGTCCCGCAGTTCACTTATCGCACACAAGCGCGCGCGCACGTTTGGTTGTTGGTATTAGTGCTGTGTTTATTGTTGTTGTTGTTGGCAGTGTTAGCGGCAGTGGCAGTGTCAGTATCAGTGGGAGTAGCAGCAACAGTTGTAGCAGTTGCAGTAGCAGTAGCTCGCGTAATGGCAGTGGCAATGACACTGTTGCACATCATTTGGGAGCGATCAACAGCATTTGTCGGCAGCAGGCGCCAGTGAAAAGGCTGAAAAAAAGACAGACAAAGAAAAAAGAGCAAAACGATAATTTAAGCGTAAATTTAATTTTACAGTGTCATAAACAGCATACCAAAATGTTTAAAAGTGTGCGATAAAAGATAATGTCCCATACAAACATATACAAATATACAAATACACACGCACACAAATCCATGTATACATGCGCGCATAAATTTTAATATTTTTAGCATATGGAAATGAATGAAAATTTTTAAACCCCATTTGCATGAGCATAAAAATGTTGATGGCTGCTTGCAGTTGAAGTGGATTTTTGCTGTTCTCAAGCCTCTTCAAACTTTTGGTACTAAAATTTTTGCTACTAAAAATGTTGCTCTTCCACTAAGGACGTAGTACATAAATGCCAGGGTTGTTGCATTAGGTCGAGAGCGTTGTCGTAAAGGCCACTTTGACCGAGTTTTGCAACACCTTTGTCACGGCTTCGGCAAGAAAGTAAAAATCATAAGGGTGCTTAGAATTTTTTTTCCCCTAAAACGGTAAATGCAGGGAATTTATGTAGAATAGCAGCAGTCTAAAGTCCAAAGTAGTAGGTATTTTATATTAAAAAGTAAAAAACATTTTAGCAAACTTTTCAAAACAGATATTTTTTGTTTATATTTTTAAAAGTTCCGGAAAAATTTACGAAAATTTCCGAAAAAATTCAGGAAATCCTGAAAACCCCCAAAAGTTCGGCAAAGTTAAAAAACTTAAAAAACAACCGAAAAATCGCAAAAAAAAATTTAAGAAAAATAAAATAGAAAAGTCCCCAAAACCTCGATTCATTTAGTATACATTTTTTAAACTTTCGAAAAAATTACCGATATCATCGGTAAAATACCGAAAAAAAATTCTCGAAAAATAGAACACGAAAAATTCCGCAAAGTAAAAAACCAAAAAAAAAAGAAAAAGTCCGGAAAATCTTAAAATCAACCGAGGAATATTACAATAGAAAACGGAAAATCACGCAAAGTAAAAAAAAACAAAAAAGTCCAAAAGTGGTTTTAAACCAGCCTAGGAATATTAAAATAGAAGAGTCCAGAAAACTTCTATTTTTTGGTTAATATTTTTTTAAATAAAATACGAAAATTTCCGAAACCAACGAGCAGTTTCCGAAAATTAAATAGGGAAAATTCAAAGTAAAAAACAAATCCGAAAAATCTTAAGAAAATTAAAATAGAAAAGTTCCAAGTTTTTTGGTATTTTGTAGGGTGGTTGACTCGGTGTTCCCAAACCGGTTTCCACCGGTTTTTTTTATGGAAATATATAGGCGTTACATTTGAAATCTTGCTTTTTCGAATATCGAATAAACCGGATTTTTCGATCGAAGAAATCATTTTTTTTTTCATCCAAAAAATAGACCTCAGAATAAAACTTTTAGGTTTTTCGAAGTTTTGCAGTTCAAGAGAAGCCCCAAATTAGTTTCAAAATTATATCCCAGGTTTTTTCAAATTGTAAATTTTCGAGTACCTCGAAACCCGGTTTTTGGAAAAAAGGCGAATAATCGAATATCCTAGTATTTTGTAAATGTTCCGAAAAAAATTCTAGAAAATCCCGTAAAAACACGAAAAAAATAGAATGGCGCTTACACATACATATGTTAGTGTTGGGCCGAGCTTCTCCTCCGATTTGTGACGTGCGCCTTGATGTTGTCACACAAATGGGAGGGACCTAGAGTTTTACGCCGACTCCGAACGGTGATTGTATTTTTATGATAAGCTGTTTTTCATGGCAGAATTACACTCGGAGGTTTGCCATTGCTTAAGAAAAAACCTTTTTTCCACATTTTTTGCGATGTTGCTTTGACCAGGGCTTGAACCCAGGCGCTGCGTAGTGGAAGCGCGCACTGCTTACCGCTACACCACAGCGGCCGCCGACGCGAAAGCTCTCAAAAAATGAAACACTGAAAAACCCGCTAAAACAACCGCGAAATCTCAAAAAATCCTAGGAAAATTAAAATAGAAGAGTTCCGAAAATCACAATTTTTTTGGATGTTCCTGAAGAACAAACACATGATGATGTTTTAGTTTACCTGAAGTCCTTAAAGCAGTCTTTTAGTTATGGTCCTGACCAGATCCCCACTTGTTTTCTTAGAAATTGTGCTGATTATCTCTTTGAGCCGTTAACAGTCTTATTTAATTTGTCTCTTAAAGAGGGCGTTTTTCCAACTGTATGGAAGGAATCGTTCATAACCCCCTTACATAAAAGCGGTAGCAGGTCTTCAGTGGAGAACTACCGGGGCATAGCTAAGCTCTCTGCAATTCCTAAATTATTTGAAGCAATTATAACAAATCGATTGACGCATTCTATCACTTCAAGCATTTCATACAGTCAACATGGATTTTGCAAGGGCAAATCAACTTCTACAAATTTGCTTGAATTAACATCCTATATCTCAAAAGCATTTAGTGAGAGCAAATCTGTTGATGTTATATATACTGATTTCAGTAAAGCATTTGACAAAGTGTGCCACTCGTTGCTCATCTATAAACTTGATCTTCTTGGTCTTCCACCTAATTTTCTACGTTGGATCTCTTCATACCTCTATGATAGATCACAAAGGGTATTGTTTAAAAATACTATCTCTGACGTCATTGATGTTACTTCGGGAGTCCCTCAGGGTAGCCACCTAGGCCCGATTCTGTTCTTGCTTTTTATAAACGATATTTCTACAGATATAAAATTCTCCAAAATTTTAATGTATGCAGATGATATAAAACTTTATAAATCGTACGTTTCAATTGAAGAAAGGTCTTTGCTACAATTAGACTTAAACAGCATGGCTTACTGGTGTAAAGTAAATCTTATGCCTCTAAATCTTAAGAAATGTAAAGTAATGTCCTTCTCGCGAAGAGCTGTTCTGCCAGTTTCTTATATAATAGGTAACCATAACCTGGAACAGGTATACAATTTTGTGGACCTTGGTATCACAATGGATCCTAAGCTTAATTTTAATCTTCACATTAATGTGACAGTCAACAAGGCTAAAGGTGTACTTGCATTTGTGAAACGATGGTCAAAAGAATTTAGTGACCCTTATATCACTAAAACCCTGTTTACAACATTAGTTAGGCCGACTCTGGAATACGGCTCGGTGGTTTGGAATCCAAGGTATCAAATTTACTCAGACAAGATAGAATCAATTCAAAAACAATTCCTACTTTTTGCTTTAAGAAATTTCCGATGGGATTCTCAATATAGTCTTCCACCTTATACGAGTCGCTTAAAACTTATTAACATTCCTTCACTTGCCAGTCGCAGGGAAATGCTTGGTATAATTTTTATGGTTAAATTACTGACAGGCTCAATTTCAAGTCCGTCTCTTCTGGCTGATGTAAGCTTTAATGTTCCCTCACGCGTATCAAGACACTTTTGTCCCATATTTCTGAAAGCTTGTAAAACCAATTTTGAATTGCACGACCCACTCCGTTGCTTATGCCAAGATTTTAACTCTCATTCCAGCACGTTTGATACATCAGATCCGCTTTTCAGCATTAAGAAAGCGATACTCTCCTCTCTCAATAAGTAAATTATTGAC